TCACTCTAGGGCTGACATTCCTGGAGTATCCGGGACTCCGTTTTACTATCCGTCAAATACTATACGACCCTGGAATTACTTAGATTAACATATCTGAAAATGGTTACGATCCAACAGCTCAAACCTGCTCAAACCGGCCCGGGAATCACCCACTAGGCGAGATCCGTTCGGGGTTCAAACGTTATCCGAATTAAGATCCGAGAAATCCTCCATGCTCGTGGGGACTAGGAGATTATTCTATGGCTGACTCTGGTCCCCACCCTACTGCCCACGCGCCTCCACACGCGCCGGCAGCGCGTGGTGCCGAAAGCGATAACACTCCTCCGTAAAAACTCTAAATCACGGCTCAAGACTCCTACCCTAGATATAACACCCTATTTGGAGCTACTTTTGTTCTTCGACCTACCCCAAAAAGTGGCTGGAACTGGCCGGAACTGTGCTCTCAAAACCGGCTGAAACCTAACTCGTAAATCGAGCTATCTACGCTTGAAATTTCTGAAATCCTACACAACGAGCAGCTAGAGCATGAAAAATAGCTAAAAAATCATACCTCACTCGTCCAATTTGGTGGCCGGATGACGGAGAACGAAAGGTTGGAAGTTCTGTCAAAAACTGTCCAGCACCGCCTGTTTCGTGGCAGATTCCGGCGACTATGGCGGCGGGTCGAGGCGGTAAGGGGTAAGGGCTGGGGCTGGAAGAGGGAAGTGTGGTGGTTCTAACGAAACTAGTCTTGCTCGAATCGGGGATCGGAGTTGAGAGAAAACACCTCCTGAAGTCGGCTGCTCCCCCCTCCCCGAAATGCAGAATTCTGGGTTTATAAAATCTGAACTTTGAAATATTTACGGTTATGTCACTGAACTTCATTTGATCTTAACTCCTTTGTTACAACTCCGATTCGAGTCCACTACATGTTTACGGACTCGTTTCGTCGCGCTCTACGCAACTGAAATCCCTAAATTCCTTCCAGGTCAAAAAGTCAACTTTTAAACTAATAAAATATTCTATGAGTATAATAGTCTTTTAATGGAATACATTAGTAATTAATAGGCCTCATCATTTGGCCCGCGGGCTCATGGGCCGATGGGGGCCTGCCTGGCCCATAAAAAAAAAAGCTCGGCTCCGCCCGTTATGGGGTTTGAGGTG